ATGGCAATTGATATATTAACTAATAGATATTAATATTGAAGGAACTTACTTTGTCCAGTGTTGCACAGGAAGGAAAGGCAAGCTTAAAGGAAAATGCACTGCTAAGATCGTCTTCAGTCTTACCAGTTGTTGAAGGTTCTAAAAGGCCAAAAAACGTAGGCTCCTACAAAATGGTAATGCAGATGATCCAGGAAATGTTACAGTTGAGTTTTGTATAACTTCACAAGCAAAATGAAACACGATGCAATAATGTAAAACATGAAGGTGGATGAAAATCACAACGAATTGTCGATGAGCTGCTGTTATCTTTATATCACACAACATCTGTAATGCATTAGTTTTACAAGAAATAGCTGTTTTTAAGGATAACGTGATAATACCGTAAAATAACAAAAATAGTCAAAATCTCATGAAATAAAATATTTTTTGAAGATTTCTTTGGAAAAACTCGAAATTATAGTTCAAATACTCTCATTAATGTGATGTTAGCACTACTGTAAGTGGTATTAAATCTAGTGTGGAGATGTCAAAGTACACCTGGGTTAGCCTGGTGCTAACATTTTATACTGATTCCCCTAGAGATGCTAGCGAAAATTAGCATTACTATACTAAAAGAAAGCAAATAAAATATAGACTTTTCAAAAGAAAAATACTTTATAGTAGAAACGTTTAGATGACTTCGCTGACTTTTAACCTAATGAATCACTGTTTGAAGCAGACACAGTGTCCTATCTGACAGAAATGGGCTTACTATAAAAAGCACAGGAGCCAAGCATGTGGTTATTTTGTGCTGATCATATGTTAATTACACCAGTGTTCATTTGAATGGATTTTTTTAGTAAAATGTTGGTTCACTCAGAAATTATTGCCTCTCTTAGTAAATCTGCCCCTTTGCTGATAGAAGGCTAATGGCTTTTGTTGGGTTTCTGTGATAAAATACACACTTATTCTACAACTTCCTAATTCAGGTAGTCTCCTGGGTAACATAATGCAATGAAAAGTAATCAATTATGAAAGATTTTATGAGGCTGACATATCCACACTATGTTTGAGAAGCATTAGGCCCACTATATCACAGTTATAACTCTGAAAGTTATGAGTTACAGGAATAATGTGGACTGAGTCTATATGTGTTCATAGGTTCTTCACTAGCAGCAACTTTTTCCCTGGTTATTGTGCAATCTGAGTATCTTTATCATGATGTTTCCAGCATCCTGTTGAGTGATTCAGTCATGAAGTATGAGGGGTGATCAGATAACAAGATTACTCAAGATTACAGTATGAAAGTGCAGCAGAATGACATGATTAGATTGGTGGGAATGTAACATTAGGGTTTGAACCCTGCTCAAGTACTATTGTTTTTAACTACTACCCTGTAATGATGCTTTTAAAATGATGACTATTTTCATTCCTGATATTGGGACAGATTCATAAAATGCAGCACTGGATTAACCCTGACCATTAGAGTAAAGAGAGTGGAATTTACTGATTCATAAATAAGGATTACTGGCAAGTTTGATCAACTGCGCAATGTGAGGCGTGGCCACCTGTTTACTTCATTTACATATCATGGTAGCCATTCATAACACAACGTAATCCTGCAACAAATAACGGCTGAAGCGCTCTGATGGTAATTTTCCTTCTATGCAGCTGATGTCTATTAAATGTTTTCTACAATTTTTAAACCTCTTTGGCCACACATGCAACAAAATGCACATACTGATTAAGCTGATTGATTCTCATCAGCTGATTAAGTGATATGTTTTGATCTGTTTGGATGGAGCGGCATGACAAACCTTCTAACTGCTGTTTTAGGAGAACAGAGGAGAAAAAAAGCCTGGCTTAAGTAGAATTTTAGATCTGCAGATTTTCACAGGCACCAAACTTAAAACAGTCTCTTACAGCATTCAATTCCATTGAAGAGTAATTTGGCATGTTGAGATTCTAATTACGTGTTCAAATTGATTTTAATTTTACGTGCAAACATTTTAGCTTTAAATCCAATTTTTCAAAAAATTCTGACCTAATTTTTACTAGTCATAATATTTACTTGTAGAATTTAAATTTACACGTGTAAACAGAATTCCTGAGATCAAGAAAAATATTAAATAAAAGCTAAAGCAGTTGCCATAGTAATTAGAATTTCAACATATTAATTCATGTTACATTTTGAAATGTTTAATTATAATAAAAATTACCAAATATTAAACTTTCATTCATGTTAGAAAAATGTTACAGCATTTATAATTTATAAAAAAAATATAATATATGTGTTACGAATCAAAACAGGTAATGGTCAGTACCAGAGAGCAGCATAACCAAAATAAGAGGGTCATCCAGAGATAAACCAAAAACTAGATCAATGGAAGGAGTTGGCAATACTTCACAATGAACTTAACTAAAGCCTGGGCCTAAATACTGTCTAACTGATTAAATAAAATGACAAACAGGATGCATCCTAGGTGTGTGACAATATGTAGGATGCATCCTAGGCAGAAGGTGTGACAATGTGTACACTTTTATCCACAATTAAAATTTACATTTTAAAATCTTATAACTAATTTTTTATGCACGTCATTTTTTATAGTTTAAACAACATTTTCTGATAAAGAAACTTTGTTTCTTGATTGAAAGCTAAAAGCTTCTTTAGTAAACAAGTTCCTATTGTTTGTAGTGCTGCATCTGAGAATTTTGTTTTTCTTTGATTCTTTTCTTTTTGTTTCCTTTGGCAGCCAACCAGAGCTTCACTTGGCATAGGTCTTTAATATGTATGACCTCTATTACAGGTCAATTCTGATTGGCTTTGCCTAGGACACAGGTGAAAATACTGCATCATTAAAAAAGATATTGGTGCACAGTCCTGGGCTGGAGGTTAGGGAACCAGCCTTGTGACCAGAAGGTCACCGGTTCGATCTCCTGAGCCAACAGTATGTGACTGAAATGCCCTTGAGAAAGGCACCTAAACCCCAACTTCTTTTGTTGATTTTCTAATAGAAAATAAGTTACTACATCCTCTACAGAGATATTTCAGCATATTTTAGTGCACAATTACTATTTATTTGACAGACTCAAAAATGAAACATAAAATGTGGCCTGCATAAAGGATGTTGGCACATTTTATTGTTCATGTTTTTTCAGTATTTTAAACAGAAATTGTGCACTAAAATTTGCAGAAAAATGCCATAGTTTAGTTTGTTTTCAGTAAAAGAACTTGTTTTCACTTGTAAAACATGACAATATATATAATTTGTAAATTGCATTTATTTATTTATGTATTTATTTATTTATTTATTTGATTGTTTACATATGTCATACTTTAATAAAGATTTCAGCCCCACAGTGCACAAAACCTGTGCTTATCATTGCAATGAATTAGTCAATAATATTTAATTTTAAAATTGTTTTTGCATTTTTCTTTAAGGAGAGGTTAGTTAGATTTCTGTGTACACAACAAAATAAGTAAATTAATAAAGAAAAAATGCACTTGTGGCACATCCAATCAGAGGCACACTATTTTAAAAAATAATATATCCCTACTCATATTGTCATTGCGATATCCAGGAGCTTTACAGAACATATTACATAATTATTATTCTAGTTTTCAATTTCAGTTTAGTTTCAATTAATTTTAAGAGTGTGCTAATAGTTTTAGTTTTGGTTTTATTTATCTGAAATTTTTAATTTAATTGCATTTCATTTTCTTATGATGAGATTCGCAATGCTAAATTAGAACAACAGCAGATTATTTTAGGTTAAGCTAAATGCCTCAAAGACATCTCCATTACATTGCCCGAAGACATCTCCTGGACATTACCTTGACTTTGGGGATTCACTTCTACACCATCTTTTTTTCCCCTCCATAACACTATTTCATTTTTCTTGCAGTGGACATTATACATTCTTAAATATACAAGTTCCTAAATACTTGGCTTGGACATATGATTTTAGAAGACACTGTTAATTGGTAGAGAACATATGTGGATGTTTCAAGGTTTTAAAGTCAACCTGAAATCAAAATGGACCCTTGTTTATTCCCATTTGTTCATGTCATTGGTCTTTTTAAGCACAAGCTACTGTGTCATCTCTGTAATCTTTAATCAAAATGTAGTGATTTTTGCCTGCCTCTAAACACCATCCAATGTTTGATTGCATCACAGTGTTCCAGCAGCAGGTAAAAAATTATACTAACCAATAATATCTTAGTATGTTCCCTTGCATCACCTTTCATCATGTCACTTTACTCTTTCACTTTCGGTGTGTGAACCAGTTGTAAAATAATCACTTATGTGTTATTTCAATTTGTTTATGTTGCCAACCTGTGTTCATGTTAACCTGAGTGAGGTAGCTCAAATATCAGTAATATTTGTACTATTTTCTGAAGTTCTACAGTACTATAAAGTTGTAAGGGAGGTCAGATGATGATCAACATTCACACATACAGTCCATCTCTTGCTCACGCATTAGGTAGTTACACTCATAAATGGATTCATTTTTACTATAAGCTGAAATTTTATCTTCAAGTCTTCCTCTCTTGCTTTTGCTGAAAGTGTAAGAAAAGCATGGATGCTAAAAGTCTAGCCTGCTAACTGGTGCTTCACCTCATCTGTTTCTTAAAAAATGTAAAAAATACATATTAAAATTAAGCTTTTAACAAACAATGTCTCAGAAACTAATAAAAATGTAGCAGTACTTTAATTATTGACCATAATCACTTTTTTTCCTATGGATCACCCACTTTTCATGCTTCACTCAGAAATATGTCACATTAAAGATGAAAAATGCCTTCTGATTTCTGATTCACACTGACTGTAAAAAGTTCTTCACACTCAGACCTTTCATTTACAAAATGATTCTTCAAAGAATCATCCATTAAAAGTTCTTTAGGGAACCAAAAATGATTCTTCTATGACATACAGTCATTTTACTGTCTTATTAGAGGTGTAGAATAAATTTAGTTGTATCAGATTAATAACAATGTTCTTGCTTTTCTTCCTCTGCAGGTTTGCTGTTCATGAACCCTGTTTGTAGATTTGCTCAGAATGATTCATGTTATGGAGCTGTGGGACGACCACTATACCTGCAGCTGGAATCTGAGGATCAATTAGACTTAAAGAAGAACATCAGTGGAACTGCTTCTGGATACATTTTCAGATTTAAAAAACAAAAAATCACACAAAACCATTCAGATTATCCAAGATGGCAGTTTGTTACTAATAACAGCACCATGATAATAAACAGTGCAGAGAAAAGAGACTCAGGAAGATACACTTTAGATACATTTAATTCAACAGGAATATCAAAAGGCATTTATCATCCCCAGCTGGTTATTGAAGGTAGGTCTACACAATCTCTAATCACATCACACAGCAACAACAATGTGTATAGTTACATGTAAAAGTCTGGGCACCCCTGGTCAAATTAGACATTTTGTTGATTTTTAAGTGAAAATAACATATCCCCTACAGAGAACACACTTCTGCACATTTTAATGCACAATTACTGTTTAGTTGCTAAATTTAACATATTGGGAAGAAGAATAAATGTAGGTGTATATTTTTGTTATGTTAATCTCAGCAAATAAATAGAAAAATAAAAATAAGATGCCATATTTAAGTGTTTTCTCTTTAGAGGATGTGGTCACTCATTTTCACAAGACATGTAATTTGACAGAGATGTTCAAACTTTGTATATGACTGTAAAACAACTTACAAATCAATTTATTTGCTTAATCCACTGCCTGGGTTTTATAAAGCCATTTTTGTTTACATTAGAAATAAAGTAGATAATTACTTGAGCTGTGGCCTAGACTGAGCAGTAATCAAGACTAAGCAATAATCTAGACTGAGAAATAATCTAGTTAATTATTTCATTTTACTTAATCAGATTATGCAGATTATGTTGTAACAACTTTTTTGAGTAAAAACTATTCAATTTTGATGCATTTCTAGGTATATCAGCTTAATTATATTTTGTAAAATTTCCAAGTGTAATTTTCACTAAATTTGGTCATGTTCATTCTATTTAATGAATTTGTGTAAATTTTTATAAACACAACTTTTGAGTAAAACTATTCAATTCTGATGCATTTCAAAATACAGTTACTCATTGTTTATTAGCTACATCAGCTTAATTATATGACAGAGCATTTAATAGTAATGTAGAACTTTATATGTTATTTCTTCATAAACTATTTTCACAAATTAAACTTTAACTAGACTTATTAATGTTCAATCTATATATATGTATAATGCATGCTCAAGGCAATGACTATCATGACAAAAGAAAAATTAACAAAGTGACTTTAGTAGGTCACATAATGTGCATATTAGGATCAACTGAAATATACATTTGCTTTACCAATATAGAACAACACTGAAGTTTAGGTAATAAAACAAGACTGTAGACAGAATAAAATAGAGCAATAAAATAAAATAGAATAAAGCTAAACTGTTAGTACTTCTGTTTAAGCACTGCACAGGTATTATTGCTTGCGTATCACTGACAAGTAAGCAATAAGTTCTTGCTGAATGCAGATCTGGTTGCTATGGCTCACATTTTTACAATGTTGTCTTAGGAAATCATTTAAAGGCTAGCGTGTCACCAACAAACTCTCACACAAAACAGTTACTTGAATTTTAAAAGAGATTTAGACAAATACAGCCATTCTTGTTTCATGTGACTTCAGCGCTGTTCTAAAATTCGTTTTTTAATTAGTTCACTTTAGTTGAGCACACTTTAGGGGAGAGCTTTGCAACATGCACTGGCATGAGGACTGCACAAATTCATAGCAGTACTTCCGCTCATTGTGGTCAGCCATATTCAGTGTATAGATTACTCCAAGCATTACTGCAGTCTGGCGCAACTGATTTGATGTTTTCTAGAATAGTGTCTCCACCAACAACAACGTCAATGTCTTCATATTCTCCAAGAGCCCCACCCTCTTTTTGATGACATACATGCCCATTTTACTCCCAAGATGTCATCACCTTGAATGTCCTACAAATTAAATCTTGTTATAAATACTTACTCAATTGTTCTACTTGTTCCATTAAGAGTAAGTTCAGCTTATTTCTCATTTGAGCTCTTCTAAAATACTTAAACTTGACCTCCTCTAAATACTTGCAGGCAAATACTTATACAAATACTTATTTTTTATAATTAATGTAAATACAATCAGCCCCCATCTCCATAAAACTCCCTTCAATGGTAAAATACACATCATACAATGGGGAGTTCTAGTTCACCCTGCGCCCACTAGCACCTACAATCTATGTTTGGTGCTAACATGCTAACACACCAATGCCTCGTTTGGGTTTGGATTTACTGGGCAGCTTAACAGTGGAGGTAAGAATGGTGTGAAGAGATGAACAGAAATCATGAGGAAATGTTAAGATGAGAGATTACTTGCAGTTTTATGTAATAGTGATAAATGGCAAAGTGAATGCAAGAGTTTCAGCTGTTTATGTTTGAGAAGTGCCATACGGCACACTGAAAATATACATACGACGTTACATTGTGAGTACCTTGTTATTGAAAATATTGCCAACATCTTACATTTTTTAATTAACCACTCATGGATATTGTATTGTTCTGGCTGCCGTTCTATAAAAGCAAGAGAGCACATGGGGTTGTTTGTTGTCATATATAATAGAATGGCTGTGATTTGTTCATAGTCACAAGCCAAAAGACATTGATAACACTCTCCCTCTCTTGTTCCATTGCTTTATTACAGACACTGTACACACACACACACCTCAACTGATACAGACAAAATAACTTTGTAATGAAAATGCATTCCTAAAAGGCCAAAGCACATCTGGTTTTTAAATGTGGCTGAAGCACAGAAAATCAGTTGAACATCATTTTTGCCTTTTCATCAATGTTCTCAAACAAGAGAGTTGATAAATTCATTACAATGTGTATTAGCCAAGGAGTGTGTGTACAATGTGTGTAATGTGTATTTTACCATTGAATAGTTATATATGGAGTGCTAAATGGGAGAGGGGGCTGATTTTATTTAGCAAATGGTACAAACAATTGATATAAATACTGTCTGGGATGCCTGGAAGCCACACAAAAAGTATTTTGAAGAGCTGGAATAAGGTGAACTTACTTAGAAATTAGAAATTACTAATTACTAATTACTAATCACAAACTGGTGTCCTAATTTACAAAGAAATCTACACACAATGTCGACTTCCATGCTTAACCATATTCATTTGAGCTATTTTGACTTACCATGTACTAAATAAAAAATTCATGATCCTTGTCAAGATGAGGACAAAGAGGTTTGATGATGGCTTCTCTTTTCAGGTGGCCATCCTTCCTCTGCACTTATTAATTGCATTTATTAGAATATACCTTCAGCTGTTAAAAAAAAGTCCTCAAAACATTTCTTAAAGATTATGGTTTTGAGATTATTCAACTGTACCATGAATGTGGTTTCAAGTGGCACCATTGTGCACTAGAAGTCAGCACGTATCCATTACAAAGACAAAAAAAATCAATAAAAGTGCAACATGGTCAGTAATAAAGCAGTCTCATCACCTCTCCCATCTCCTATTACACATCTCTATTCACCTCACTGCCAAAAATCTATATTGATATTTATTTGATTTTCTTTTATGAGACTTAAAACTATTGTAAATGTTGGATCAGTCTTTGAACATACAAAAGACAGTCTCATTATTTTGTAAATGATGCCCTATGTTCACAAAGTAATCATGTTCATTCACTAGTTAATTGAATGCATGTAAGTTATATCCAATACTGTGTTGTGTGCAGGTCTATAACCATCAAAACACTGTAAAGTATATAACATTAACGTTAATGATTGTATTCATGCACATACCCAGTCAACATCTCAAGTGACCTTAACATTTCTACAAAAAAGAAGGATATATAATTAAACATTTACAGTTAAAAACATTGCGATCAGCTTTAGTACGTTTAGTGATAATTTGACTTTCTGTGTCTGTGCTTTGAATTTGCGTCGGTTTGAACTAACTTAGCTAGCCAACCAGGCAAGCTTTAAGCCATGTTAAGTCCTCCCTTAACCTTAACTTTTTGGCAATTACATTTATCTGCCTAAATGTCATGTATATGTTTTATGCACGTCCATAACGACAAACAATAGACAGTATACAATATTCTACCTTGTAAATGTAAGATGACAGAGTTTTCTCAGATAAGCAAAATGTTCTCTGAGGTGAGGTGTAAAAAATGGCTGTGCTGTAATCTAGTCTGAGCAGTCATTTAGATTGAGCAGTGATCTAGACCATACAGTAATCTAGTTTGAGCGGTAATCATGATTAAGCAGTAATGTAGACTGAGCAGTAAACTAGTCTGAGCAGTAATCATGATTAAGCAGTAATGTAGACTGAGCAGTAAACTAGTCTGAGCAGTCATTTAGATTGAGCGGTGATCTAGACCATACAGTAATCTAGTCTGAGCAGTAATCATGATTAAGCAGTAATCTAGGCTGAGCTGTCATCTAGACTAAGCAGTAATCTAGTCTGAGCTGATTTCTAGACTGAACTATTAATCTAAAATGTGTTGTAATTTAGACTGATCTGTTGATCTGTAATTTTCAGCTGTGGTGTCTTCAGTGACTGTGACAGACAGCTGCTTATCTATTGAGAAGAGGAAAGTTTACTGTTCCTCTGATGGAGATAATGTGCGCTACAACTGGACTTACCCACATATACAACTGGCTGATGGGAACCAGACTCTTCTGCTGGACAAAGAAGCTACTGGAAGTGTGACCTGCTATGCTGAAAATCATGTTAGCCGTGGACACAAAACTATTGAGTTGCAGCAGTGCCCTGGTAAGTCAAGTCTTTTTAAGATTTAAATATGATTATGCGAAAAGCAACAACAACAACAACAACAACAGTGATGCAGTGGTGATAAGCTACTAAGTTCAAAGGAGAACTCAAAGCAGGTTATGTCTGACTTGAAATCACCCCTCCATGCCTTTACGATTTGAGTTGGTCATTGTACCATGTGGTACCCAAACCTGTTCCTGGAGATCTACTATCCTGTAGAATGCAATATAAACCCAAAACTGATTGAGGTCATCAAGGTTTAACCCCTTAATCTGGAGTCTTATTATTGACTTATAAATCTTAAGACTTCAAACTTACTACTATGAATAATTTCTTAACTGTATGTAACTAATGCATAGTTACAATATACTGTGTAGTTATGAGAGTGAGGAATCAAAGTGTGTGCCCACATATCACACAGTCATGTGCATGAATAATTCTGTAATTCTTTAAATATAGGTGATACAGTTTAGGAAAAATATTTAAAAATTAGATAAAGAAAAAAAACATCAATGGGTTAAGGGGTTTGTCAAGGTGTAGTTAGTTCAGGGTCAGGGCTAAATTCTGCAGGGTGTTGGAGTTGGTTTGAACAGACCAAAGGGCAGCATTCATAAGGCTACATGATGTCTAAAGCCTTTGATGACAACATAAACCGACATCAACTTTAAGGACTTATTTAAACAAGCTTCAGTTCTCATGAAGGTCGCTATTGTCCATGATCGTGTTATTTTATCTGACACCTGATATTTGTTGGAAAAAGCCTTGTCTTATGAACTCTGGCCTTCAGTAGAATGTTACCAACACAGCTAGCCTTGGTTATCCACCAGTGCAAAATGTGTGCTTTGTTTCATATCTATACAATCCTTATTCTTTGAGGCTTGACTCTTATTGTAAATATGACTACATACACATATATATTCTCACAGAAGCTAACATTAGTGATGCTCCATTGCTGTGTAATTACAGATCCTACGACCGTGACCCCCACTAGAACTTCGACGCCCAAGCGGACTCAGTCAGGCAATGGTACAAGTCTCACAGTATCTGATAAAGAGGCTCAGACCCCCACTCATAATCGCACCTCCAACCAAGACCCAGTTACTCTCAGTCCTGAGTGTAAGTGAAAAGCTCAATAAAGGTAGAGATGCCACAGTCTCACAAAATCAATAATTATCAAAACACAAGGTGCGATTACCTCTCTTGATTTCTTCAACTGGTGTAGAATCAAGCTACATCTACCATTTCTATAGTTTCCAATTAGTCATTTTACACTCTGAAACCCCCTTATTCCTACAAGAAAATCCCACAATGATTTATCTACTGCATAGAGGAGAGTGGGGCACAAACATGGGTTAAAATGTAACATGCATATTTTGTGTAGTAGAATATTCTCTTAGTCATGTTCTCATATTCCCATAGTAGCAACAGCTGTGATTTTTTTACAGATATTACTCCATAATCACCTTCAAAACTGTTTCGGTAGCACTTTGCAGATTGCTCATAAGGGGGTAATCATATGGTGATATTTAGTTATAATAACAAAAATTGCATGTTACTAAATATTATGTTATTCCATGTAGTGTTTATTGTGGTTGGTGATAAAATGATAAAAATAAAAGAAAGTTAAACATGTATAAAGATAAGTGTGTTGTAGTGTGATTTGGGCTTTTTCCAACACAACTAATTTCTGAGCTTTTTGTTGGTTTAATGCAACATGAACATAAATGTAATCCAAAATACAAAGGCAAAATCCAATATTTAAATGCAAAAGAAAAAAAAAACAATAAATACCATGATTGTCTAATTGTTTAGCATGACTGTCTAATTGTTTAGTATTACTACTAATTAAATTATTTTGTATCGACTGGAAATCATTTTTAAATCATTTTTACATTTTTACCAACTAGTTCCCACTACAATTACAAACGTATTATTTATGAACTATTAGAAATTTAACATATCATTTTTAGGTTAACTTATCTTATTACTATTATTTTACCATTTGATTGCCAACCTCTTATGGTTATAATTACCAACTTGTTATTTAATAGCAACTAAAAATTTGCATCTAATTTTTAGGTAAACACAGCTTGTTACCATGGTATTATTATATTTTTATCCAGTTGTTACCAATCTGTAAAGTGTTGCCACTGTTCTTATACCATAAATTATTTTTTTAATGTTGTTTCTATAAGCCACAGAATACATTTCTGTATTATTTTAGTTATGGTCTTGGCAGGTGTAACAAAGCATCATTTTGAAGCATGTAAACAACTCACAATAAGAGTTAGCCAGGCTAAAGTACAGCCAACACATGAGCGGGTTAGTTTTACAATGCAGCCTCCTAAAATAAGCAATGAGAGAAATGCATAACCCTCACATAAATTTGAATATTTTATGCACATATTTATCAAAATGCATAATAGATGTAATGTATATAAAATACGTTTCATTTTTTAGTTCAAATTTTAAGTGTTCTACTTTGTGGTTAAAATAAATTCACCTTCTGAAACAAATTCTTTTCACTAATTATTAAAGATGATAAAGATTTTTTTTTTATGTATTTAGCTTGGAACAACAACATAGAATTGTGTTGAATAAATTATATTTTACATTCATTTACCAGACCTTTTAGCGACTGTCACAACTAGCCTCACATATAGGGTTGCTCTTACTTTTTTGCTTTTGGCTGTAATTTTTCAGTTAAACATTTTTAAGCAAAAAAAGACAGAATGCAGTAGGTTGTGCCCTACTCTTCTTTATGTATTAAATTCTTTATTCCCATAATTTACTAAATTTATGTTAGCTTCATTGTCATTCTCATAGTTGTTGCTGTTGTTGTTGTTATTGTTGTTGTTACTGCTGTGGTCTAAATTTCTCATTTAATGTTGTTTTGATACCTTCAATGCTATCTTTAATGCCTAATGAGGTTCATTTCCACTTTCTGTAGATATGTTGCTAATAGTTCTGGGCTCTACTGTTGTGGTCCTCATCGTGCTGTCCATCATATCGTACCTTATTTACAGGAAGAAACAAGCTCCAAAGAACATAGGTCAGCTGATCTCAGTTTCATCTTTTTAAATGAGGCTGGATTGATCTGCTCTTTGTGTATTTTCCACTTATTACATAAGAATGAGCTGAGAAGTTTGCTACGTTTGAGAAAGTGAAACCAGCAGCACTGACTGGAGAACTCCAAACCTTATTTGGTAACACTTTACATGAACAATGCCCATATCATGGACACAACCATGCTATAAATGTCATGGCTGATGTCATATGCTGTCATGACAGAATTTGACCAGTAATATATCCAGTAATGACAGACGTTGTAAGGTTTAATGTCATGACAGCTATGTAGAGTAGAATTAGCATGTGACATAAGCTTATGTCATCTGTTACTACAATAATAAGATGGTAACACAACACTAAAAAAAAATATATATTATAATATAGGGATTCTTCTACCTAATTGGTTCAATATCAGAATTAAAAATACATTTTGGACTTTTAACTGACTTGGACTTTAAATTAAAATTCTTTGGCTTTGAGTGAATTGGATTTTATTTTATTAAAACAAATGACTCAGCATTCCATTTTGTCACAAACAAAACAATCATATCACTACTGAAACATTACTAAATGTTTTGTTTGTGGCTGTTATAACTCAAAAATTCTAGCCAGTATGATAGTAAACACAGTTTTGTATAGTTTGGACAGTTGTACACCAATAAAATCATAAAATATAATATTTAAAAAAATAATATTTTTCATCACAACCCAAAAAAGTTTACTTAGTTGCAGAAAACTTGTGTTTTTGATATTCATGTTGGGACTTTTACTTCAAAACAATGGAATCTAACTGCTCACCATGTGGCTGTGAGGGACAGGGATGCAGTCTCACTTCCTACTCTAAAATACAAGGGTGTGGCTAAAATAAGGCTCTGCCCACAGACTAAAACTCTTTGTGTTTCGGCAATGACATGAAAACATGGGAAAGCATTTTTTATATATTTAAAAAAATAACACTGAAGAAAATACAAAAAAATTAAGTGTTACTTTCACAAATCTAAATTTAGGATTTGGAGGTATGGAACAGCCACCTGCCAATAGAAAGTACTGTATAGTGGATTTTTTTGTATGTATTTAGCTTATTACTATCTCAATTAATGTCTTGGATTTGAATACATTGTAAACATATTCCTCTTAATTATATAAGTTTAAACCAATCCTGTAAAATGGTCCTGACAAACATGACAATCTGTTATGACAACTCATAACAGCGTGTGACATCTTCCATGACATGAACATGGCATGTTCATTTCAGCGTTATGTAGCAAGGTTAAAGTAAAGTGTTACCCTCCATTTGAAGCTGATGTAACCAATATTCAAATAAATATACATTGAATTAAGAGCCAATGATTGAAAATCATCTTTGTTACATATCATAATGTAAATGGAATCAAATGTAAATGGATATATGTGTTATTCATCCACAGGATCTTCTCAGAATGATGGGGAACTACTGTATGTTCAGGTCACCCATAAACCCACTGGTGGGGCAGACAAAACAGGTGGGAAAGGTAAGAGAGTCAATCATATACTGACCACAAGGGCCAGTGAGGCTCAAGGGGTTAGGGTTAGGTAATATTTATTTATATGCTTGCAAAGGAAAATGTTCATCTTGCTTTGGAGCAGCACAGTGACATTAGCAGGGTACTGCCACCTGGAAAGGGTAAGTGCTTTGCCCAAGGGCACAACCAGAGCAGATTTACTAAGAGAGGTGCCACTTACTGACAGTCTACTGACACTTTGTACTGGTGGGGGAGGCCACTTTAGCAAATGTTCTTCTTCCATGCAAATTAACACTGGCAACTTCATAATTAACATATGACTGGCATAATATAACCATGTGTTTGGCTCATGTGCATTTGGTATGAAAAACTGTTTCTGCCAGAAAAAAAACTTTTTATCTGTCAAACTGTGATTCCTTAGGTTCAAATAGTGACCTAATCTCTCAAGAGTTTGAAGAATTAGGGAGACAAAAAATGACATTTAAAAAGGTTATTACTTATTAAGAAAGTATGTAATTTTGGCATAATACATCAGAAATCCGAGAAAATAAGAGCATTTACTAAGAGATAAAATGTGCAAAAGGGCAGCAACCACCACTTTTCAGTCTCCACCTGGAACTTCCCTTCAATTCTTTATTGGATTAAACTAAACTCCAACTGTTATTGAGTCTTTCATGGGTTTCATTGACTTCCTTTTCCAGCATAACCACCACATAGTTAGATATTTTTTGAGGTGGTAACGAGGTAACATTACGTTTTGGCTCATCCTTAATTTATACAGTTTTGAGAAAAAGTGAGTCAACCTTATGTTATTGTATGGCATGACAATGCTTTAAAAAACATGGTCTATTTTTTACCCATGTCAAAAAGAAGCAATAATAAAGTTATAAATAAACAAATAATACAAAAACTGAACTGAAACCACATACTTCAGTCTCAAGGCACTGGAGCATGATACATTGTTATACGTATCACACATTCAGTCTCGAGACCACCCTCCATTTATTTATTTCTAGTCAAATGTTATAAAGTTAGAGGAAAATAAGTGAAAAAAAAAAAAACAGAATAAAGTTAAACATGTAATAGAAGACACAAAGACAATGGGACGCTCTGTCAACCGTGCCAGACCTGGTAGACCACCAAAACCGTTATTAGATAAAGTTATTTTTCATCTTTGAGAGACAGACAGTCAAGTAAGCCAAACTCCACTGTTGCTTCAGATCTGAAAAAAATCCACAAGTGTTTCTATTCATTCTTCCACTGTGAGAAGAGAACTCAATGCTATGGGTCTGAAGGGTTTACGGTCAAAAAGAATCAAAGAATGAGTTCAATGTTCCCTTGTATTGTTTTTTCACCATTTAGCTCAAGCTCAGGGGGATGATGTAGAGTACGCCACGGTCATCACTCAGCCCAAACAGAAGAAGAAAAAGCAGGCAGAGGATGAAGTTCAGTATGGAGAGGTGGCGTTCAACACTGGTGGTGCCAAACACCGGAGAGAGCAACCTAAAGAGCAGGATGAATGTGTGTACTCACAGGTTCACCACAATCGGTGAGGGTGACGCTGGTACAATGTAGAAAATACAAGGCCATAAAGTAGCTAAGCAAGACTTTGGTTACTGTCTTAAGTTGTTCTTATTTAATCCTTAGAAGTGCAAAGTTATTATTATGTTTTATGTTTGTGCTATTTTCTCATTTTTGTTTTACTGTTTACTATTTAGTTTTAATAAAAATCATTTACTCATGTAAGGAACTGCATTACATTTAATTTACATTCAGGTTCAGGTTTGCACTTTTTCTGTTTGTTTTGATGCCACCAAATGACAAACAAATGGCAAGAATTTAAAGAATGAGTAACACTTTATTGGGTCCCCACTCTATAGTGTGTTTCTAATAACTGTGTTGTTACATATTACCAATACATGCAACAACAATGTAACTACTGGTGATGTGTTGACCGTTACAGATGGTAATACAGTTGTACAGCTCATGTAAATATACATGTGTGTCAACTTCAGTTTCAACTTATGTAATTACACAAGTGTATCTTGTCAGTTATAGTGGCACATTTTCTCTTATGTAATTACACATGTGTAATTCAGTAATTACATTTGTATACACTGTAATTTTCCAACAACACTTTACTCTTTGAACCAAGAGGTGTGTAAATACATTTTAAGAGAACGTACACGACAACTTTCCTAACATTTAGCTAGCTGCAGTAGTATGCTTGTGTTGGGACGTATTAGCCTAACCAAAGTTCTGGTTTATACATTATATTATGATATATCTGTTTTTCATATTTCCCCAAAAACAGTACCTGGTTTACCAGTTTGGAATTTCACTGTACCTACATAACAATGATACACTTCAAAGTAATGATTCTTCAAGGGTTCTTTAGTAAGGAAAAGGATTCTATATAAAGGGCTCTTCTATTGTTACAATGTCAAGATTGTAACAGTAGAAGAACCCTTTTTGGTGCTGTTCTATATAGAACTATTTTCTTTACTAAAGAACCCTTGAAGAACCATCATTTCAAGTGTGTACACAAGAACTGCGCTTACTTCAAAGTGCCACTTTTACATAGTTACTGTCACAACACAAGCATACTACTACAGTTAGCTAAATGTTTGAATAGTAGTTGGTTTCTTGTGCAGATGCAGGTAATTACACACCTCTTGTTATAATCAAAAAAGTCTCATTGTAAAATAGCAGTTTATACAAATGTAATTACTCTATCACACATGCGTAATTACACAAAAGTAAATATGCTGTTATATATCAGAATATGCTTGTTACATGAGTAACTGATGTGATACTGTGGCTGTACTACTGTACTCAATCTTTAACAGTGAATACATCACATGTTAGTTACATTGTCATTGCATGCATTGTTAATGTGTAACTACACAGTTGTTAATGAGAATATAAAGCATGACACAGTATTTTTAATATATATAATACATATTAGGGGTATATTAAGGTCTCATTCTTTGTGCAGTAAAGCCCAAATTAGAAACCTCTTCTAAATGAGTTAATCGCTGTGTATTAGCTTTATTCATTATGACCTGTATTAGTTCAGAAATGGAAGTATGTTGTATAAAAATCACTTTGCATTATGAGTTGTAATAATGCAGAAGGCAACCTATTAAGCATGAAGTATCACCTAAATTCACATCTTATTGTGTAATTGGCAACATTTATTCTTAAAGGTACTCTATAGCTTCAGAAGCATCAGGAGATTATTACATTAGAGCTAATACGAGTTTATTAAGTCATTAATCGGTTGTAATTCTAAAGTGCAGTATTTATTTTGGTGTTAATGATCCTGAATAAGTACTGAACTTATTAAAAAACCTGTTTAGTGCTTTTTAGCCTCCAGTTAATGAGCACTAAAACTGCCCTTTAGCATAATGAACACATCTTGAATGATTAGTGACTTATTAAACTCGTAATAGCTCTGAGGCAATAAACACTATCGAGAATCCTTAAGAATAAAATGTTGCCAATAAATTTAGGTGATTAACTTATGACAAATTGTGTGCACAACAAATGTTTATTGTGCATTATTACAACTAATAATAGTCATGTTTACAACACACCTCCATTTATTTACTAATACAATCATAATCATAATATCTACAAACGAATATGAATGTAGTATCAGAATCTCTCTTCTTGTTTCGATGAACAGTGTGTGAAAATTATTCACAACGTTTTTGATCTTGCGAGCGATAACTACAACTTCTAAGTTTCAGAGTGTTAACCATAATGGTGTTACTGTTTTGCAAGGTTGTCTTGGTTAAGGTGACACGATGGCCCTTGGTTTGGGGGCAGCCCACCTTGTTATTCAATGATACTTTAGCTGAACTTTGTAGATCTTCCACCTCGTCACCTAGAAAAGCTGGAGACACTGAATTAAAATGAAAATGAATGCAGAAACCAAAGCTTTTGCTTTCTAATGCCCAGCTAGTCAGAGCTTTTGGCTCAGACACTCAGCATTGGGTTTTCTCTGTGGTTTGCAAGTCTTCAGTTGCTTTAGCAAGAAAAGGGGGAAGAAAGAGTTGCTTCATTTTTCCAGTAAACACTTCTGCTTCTCCGTCACGCTTGCGTCTCTTGGTTGAAAACGTTGCAGCTGTGGCTTGCTGTGTAAAAGTACCCTTCTTTAAGATGTACTGTAGGTAATGTCTGATTATTACACTGGGAAAAGAAGGTTTCCAGCTTTCCTGTGTTCTTCGAAAGCATTTTAATATGATTAACTGGAGATGTTGTTCATTTTTCGTGTGCTAATTGATCATTATTTGTCATATGGCTTAAACTTGTGTTACACAATCAATTATGAGTTCTGCGTAGCAAATGAATGATGAACATTTTGGCTTGAAAAACATGACTTCATTCATGCTGTACACTTACAGTATGTCCACCCCCTGATGGTTGGCACAATATAATAAGGCCGTTTCAAAGAATTAAATGCCAAAAGGAAATATTCAAAAGCTTTTTGTTTAAATCAAACTACAAATGGGGCTTATATAGCTCCCAAAAGGGTTCTTCTATTGTTACGATGTCAAGCTTATACAACACATTCTCCATCAATCTAAAGAACCATTTTGTGCACCATTTAAGGAACCATTAAAAGATACAAGTGTAGGTTATCTATCAAAATAAAATATGATCAAAATAATCCAACTTTTCTTGGTACGGTGTAGCTGCATTGTAAAAGGGGTTAATGAATAAACTTAAACAGTAAATGGAATTTTATTTTTCAGTGCTTAGAAAGCAAACTTAGCCCTGGCCGAGTTCCATGTGGCTGCTAACCTGCTTACGGTATTACAGCCAATATACTCGGTGGCCTTACATTTTAAGGGTCTTTCTCTGTTCACACAGTAGATCCTTATCAATGTGGAGTTTTTTTTTTTAAGTGTGTTACTCATGCTTGGCTTCCTTCTCTTGCCATGCAACTTCCTGAGTAGAGGTCTAAAATAACCCCATATCACTCCATCTCAAAAGCAAGCATCAAGTACAAATTGCCCCTCTACAGTTTGATGTTTGGACTCTGTCATGATTGCAAATATTATACTTTTAAATGGAATAGTACTTTAAATAACACATAAACCATGCAATATCCCCATCAGACATTCTATGCTCAAACACAGCTTGTACTTTAACCCGAAGGTTGAACCAATTAGCAAGATTTCCTTTAAATATTATAATAAACCCCTTGAAATCCCAGGCTTATTACATACAAAGGCTTATTATACAGTAACTACATGGACTACAATGAAAACTGGCTGTGTTATTCTTAGGTTATAGATGTATGTAACAAAACTTGGTACCCACCAATGAGTCCTGGTCATTAAAAAACTTTTGCTTCTTTAGTGCTGGAGCTATGAGGCTATAGTTGCTAACAAACAATCAAAATCAATAGTCACCCAAATCCTTTCCATAATTACATCCCCAAAATTTCTCTCAGCATGCTCAAACTGCATCCACATCTTCTTTAAGGTCACACAGACTTGTTGATGTGGTTTAGGGGAGTCAGAGTTTGGCACAACACCTAGGTTCATACTGCGGCCTAAACTTCAGTTTAACCCATGGGTTTGGGAGGTGGGATGCTGAGGGGGCTGCAGCACACCCAGATTTCAGGAGTGTTTAGCAGTAACTGCTAAAAATACTTTAAACAATTCATAAAACAATAAATAAAACAACTGAACTTTTGTATTTGTATTATATATTTTATTTATTTATTTTCTAAATCTGCAGCCTAACTGGCCAGAATGAGAGACAGCACCATCAGCAGGGTGTACTTAAGTGATGTCAGTTATAGCACACTACATTACAGCACATTATGATATGCTCTGTTTGATGTAAATGATCTTAAACATTGAGCATATAATTTGGCATATAATTTGACATCACAGAGTACTTCACATATATGTTGCTCTAAATTCTAGCAACCCCTGCTCAAAACACCATCCTGTAACCCCTGTTTCAACCTTCATATAGAGTTGGATTAGAGTAATTTTGCTATTTTATGCTTTTTAGTACCATGAAAAGTTGCCAGATCATAGAGCATATATAAGAATAGGGCACTTTTGCTTTGGGGTCCGATCACATGTATGGTTTTTGTACAGCAACAATTCAAACACAATATTTATCCCCACAATGTTTCAGCACCAAGTTAGGATACCGTACCAACACCTTAGTAACCACCCGAGAGTCTATAGCAACAGCCTAGCAACACCTTAGCAACCACCTGGGATGACATAGCAACAGCATAACAACACCTTAGCAACCACATAGAATACTATAGCAGTGGCCTAGGAACACTTTTCCAACCCCCTGCATACCATAGCAACAGTTTAGCAACCCCTAAGCAAAAACCTGGAATACCATAGCAATGGCCCATCAACATCTCAGCAACTATCTGGGATTCCATAGCAATGGCCTAGCAACACCTTAGCAACCACCTGGGAACCATTGCAGTGGCCTAGCAACACCTTAGCAACCACGTGGAATACCATAGCAATGGGCTATCAACACCTTAGCAACCAACTCAAATTTCAAAGCAAAGGCTAACTTAACCTTAGTAAGGATAGAGACGGCAGCTGTCGAGAAAACTAAAAAATCTCAATGCATCATGTTGCCTTGTAGTTTTGAATTCTCTCAACAGCATCTTTTTTACAGTGACATTATC